AATGTCATTTATATTTAAACCCAAGGAGAAAACAAGGTCCAATGTGTGACCCTTTACATGTGTAGGGCCAGAAACATGTTGCATAAAATTAAAAGACTCTGTGATAGTCATGAAGTCAGCACCCATATTACAGGATGCATCATCAATATGAAAGTTAAAATCTCCCAACATTACCACCTTCTCTAATTTAATAATGGATGATAGGAGGTCGTTAAATTCAGTTAAAAAGACTCCGGCAGGGCCAGGAGGTCGGTAGATTAAAATACAATAAAAGGTGTGCAAAGAGCCGACCTTGATCATCTGAAGTTCAAATGAGGTAAAAGAATCCGAGTTCATCAGTCTGCATGTGAATCTGTCCTGGTGCACAACAGCGAGACCTCCGCCACGTCCCGAAAGACGTGGAGTTCCGATGACGGAGCAGCCAGTCGAACAAATTTCATTCAGATGTATATAATCCATGTTTTGTTGCCACGTCTCAGTTAAACACATGAAGTTGAGAGATTCCTTTACAAAAAGATCGTTTAAAATAAACGATTTGTTTGTGATTGAGCGAGTGTTGAGCAGGGCAAACCTGATTGATGACGTTTGGTTAGTGCAGTCAACAGCTGACTGCAGTGGCACTCGAATTAAACACCTGTGCGCACCTCTACACCTGTTACGCCGGGCGGGGACTTCAGGGCTAGCAGAAGCTAATATCCATAGTGGTACATCACCTCTGCCATCAAAACGGCGGTCGAAGGAGGGACGCCAAGTGAACATGGGGCCATCAGACCATAGACTCCGAGCTGGGAACTGAAGTGTAGTGTCGGCACCAGGTGACAGCAGACGAATTGGTCGCAGGCACCGGGATTCTTCCCACATCCAAGAAGCTAATCTTCGGTACCTTCTCAGTCGCACCTGGACACCGGCCCTGGTTCCCCTACTTCTTCTTTTCTTCGTGTTAAATCCCACCGATATGTACGGTAACATGCACTCAGGTGAGGAACACACAAAGGGTGGAGGGAAAAATTTCCTGTAACTGTCCCAGCTGTCAAAGTAGCTCTCCATTGAATCTTTGATATACAACATCATGCCCCGATCATAAGTATTGGTGGCAGAGACAAAATCAAAACACAGGACGGTAAAAATAATATTGCAAGTGACTATAGCGGCCAGTATAAAACTATACCAGCGAGCTGTACTAGCGGCACAAGCGGCAAAGCCAAACACAGGCGCCATCTTGTCCGAGTCCAAAGTGGGTCAGTAGTGTACCTCTGGTCTGTTCTGAGAGAATATGCCGATGTGAGAGTCGGTGGTCTTGCTGTTTCCTTTGTGAAGAAATGCAGAACCCAGATTCTCTGCTTGCTCAATTACCTAACACATAAACACACACATATACACACAGACACACACACCAGCTGTTAATGCTGACAAACTCAACCTTGTTCAGCCTCAGAAATCAAAGTTTGATTTATGCTCATTTTGCCTTTTCAGCTTCTCATTTACATTTGATCACTTTTAGCAGAAAGTTACAAAGTGACGATTTCAGATTTGCATACAGAATAAAATGACGCACTTGCAGAGTGAATGTCACCGGCAAACAACGTGACCATAAAAGACAAGGTCACCTTTTTGACCACCACTTTGTAAACAACTGTTTATACTGACTGCAAACTGTAGCTTTCACCCTGGAGGCTATAATGTTTATACAAGGTGAGCTAATCTTGGTATCTCTTACCTCTCTGTAGGAAATCCATTCATAAGGCTGTTTTAGCTTCCTGGAGCCGACACAGGGACCGTTACCTGGACGATGAAAGAGAAGAGTTACTACAGTGGAAAGTTAGAGCAACCTAATGTCACAAATTCAAAAGTGTTCCCAGGATGTCATACACATATCCCTATTACACATACAGATGATTACACTTCCTACCCTGCATGCTTGGCTGCTGGCACAGCAGTAAACTGGAGTGTTGACTATTGTGTCAGCCTTTTTGGCATTAAGAAAGAGTACACAGGTACTGTTGATAAAAGCAGCAACCTCAAAATTAAGCCAACACAGAAGAACAAAGACCGCAGTCCCTGCAATGGACACTTGACTTTGGCTTCAAAAGAGAGTCAGTCAGTGAAAATTCAGCTAGGCTAACAGCATGTTTACACACTGAGGGCGTTTTCACACCTATACTCTGATGTGAATCAGTTGAGGACTTTGCAAACTTGTAGCTTTTTCCTGTTGCTTTGTTTATGTTCACACTTAAAAAAAAACTACAAGAGAATAGCAGTTGAACCAGTACACATCACTGCAAACCGCATGAGAACATTTAGGCCCCTTATTGGTCAAATGTGTCGGTGGGAGCAGAAAGGTAAATACAGGAAAAAGGTGTTTTGTTCTGGCCTAGTGGATAACGTGGAAAATTTACATACATTTTACGGTTAGTTGCTGTAGTTACTGACTGTTTGTGTACCATATTTTCCGCACTATAAGGCGCACTTAAAATCCTGTAATTTTCTCAAAAATCTACAGTGCGCCTTATGTATGAATTCTGGTTGTGCTTACTGACCTCGAACCGATTTTATGTGCTACACGGCGCTCAAACATCTGTCAAAAATGTTTTAGTACGACTTTTGTAAGCTACGAAGTCGCACCGCTAGATGGATTGTTGGAGCATTATGGCTACTGTAGTCAGGAGCCTCGCGGAGTAATCTGGGTCCTAAACTCCGTCTACTTCAGGTCCCAAAGTCAAACGAACACTGCAGCATCACTGAGAGTTACAAACTGCCTAAATTCTTTCATCTTTAATAAAATGATCAGCGTTGCGGCTTCACCAGGTGTAACAATTAAGTTTAACATCCAGGCATCCAAGAAAACAGAATTTAATAAATTTAATGGAGTTAGAAGTTGGCAGAAAGTTAGCTTGCTAGCTTCCACCTAAACATGGTATAGTATGTTCTGACTGAGAGATTTCTGAAATAATTTAACTGTGTCTTTCACCTTCTTAACTAAATATGGACTTCTGGTTCCAAAACAACCGACACAATGGCTCTTATGGTTGGCACATACATGTGACAAAGCTGTTCCTCTAATGTGGAAAAACTACATGAGTGGTGATCCATGTCATTCACTTTCTTTTTCAGATTGTTCCTCTGCAAAAATGGAAAAAGGGTCCCATTTTTAAATGCTCATCTTTAAAGCAGCAGCATAGATGTTTAATATGAAAACTGTAAAAACAACAGTTGAGGTCTCTACAGCTAAGTTTGCCTTAATGATCGCATATCAGGTTAATTTTTACATAACGTGTGTCATAAAATTGTATTAAAATATCTAAATATTCAAATAAAATATCAATCTTTTATATACAGTTTTTGTATTCAACAAAGTCAAAGTTACTTTGAGATGTTAGACACATCATCACTACTGCACCAGTGCAGTTAAGGATGAATGTGAATGCGAGCTTGATTTATACAGTAAAAGTACCACATTGGGATTAAATTGTATTACCGGTGACTTACTGGACACTCTGGCGCCTCTGAGAAAGAATTCATACAACGTAGTGGCATCATCATAGATATGTGTCAAGGGACTGTCAGTGGTCAGTAGAACTGATCGGCGTGCCAAATCTCCACCCTCACAATGACAATGAAACAGATCGTGAATGCAACAACAATACAACAACGACAGCAGCTGGAACATTTCTGTGTAAAAAATCTTGTTAGAGAATTAATGACAGCAAGTAATTAGTGGGTCACATTATCGATCAGCATAACTATCCTGTGACTCTGACAGGGACCAAACTTACCTGAACCTCAACTGACTGCATCTGGAGGTCACAGACCAGTGGGAGGGGCCTGGGTCGTGTTGCCAGGTAATAGGTTGTCGCAGCAACCACAGCCCCCATGCTGACTAACACAGGGGTGGACATGTTTCTGGCGTAGCAGCTGACATCTAGATCTGGCAGCTTCTGAATAAACTCCTCCATGTTATTTGCGATGAGGTGCCTTCAACAACACTGACTGCTCTGCTCTGTTCGTCCAGGTGCAGTTAGACTGAATGCCCTGAGGTGTGGTTGCAAGTAATATGAAGACGTTTTTGGCCAGGAGGTCAACTAGAAAGAGCAAGAGAAGACACATCGTTATTGTACTTTGAATCTTTTTTATCCATAGTTTAGTAAAGTAAGTAAGTAAATTTTATGTCTTTTACCTTTCTAGATAAAAGATCGCAAAGTGCACACAGGGAAGACAAAGTATAAAACAAAAACAGACAAAAGTTTACAAAATGCAATTCTAAAAATATGTTTTAGTTGTTTTTTAAAAGAAGCTACTGAGTCCACAGATCTTAAGCTCAGTGGGAGACAGTTCCACAGTCTGGGAGCCACGGTGGCTTTGTATGCTGAATAACAGGTAGGCTCTGATCACATGACCTCAGAGACCTGCTAGGGACATAGGGCTGTAAAAGTTCAATGATGTAGGCAGGTGCTTGACCATGAAGAACTCTAAAGGTCAGAACCAGAATCTTAAAATGGACTCTGAATTCGATGGGGAGCCAATGCAGCTGTATCAGCAACGGTGTCACATGTGAGTACTTCGATGTTTTGGTCAGAAGCCTTGCTGCAGCGTTTTGGACAATCTGCAGACGCTCCAGGGAGTTTTTTCTTAGAGATGTAAACAGTGAATTACAGCAATCCAATCATGATAAAATGACTGCATGAATAATAATCTCCAGTTCAGTGCGAGACTTAATTTAGAAATATTTTGTTAAGTGATAAAAGCAGGACCGAACCAGAGATTTGACGTGAACATCCAAAGTGAGCCGGGTCAAAGATTACCCCGAGGTTCCTGATGGAAGATTTCACAAATGTTGAAAGAGGACCAAGAGCATTCATTATCTTAGGTACATGTCTGTCAGGAGCACATACAAGGACTTCGGTCTGTCCTTCATTAAGTTGGAGAAAGTTGTCGACCATCCAACCTTTAATGGATTCTAAGCACTCATTCAGAATCTGCAGCTTAGAAACATCCTGGGACTGGATATCATCTGGGTAGCAAATGCCCTCAAAGGGGCTTAACATATGCTGGAGAGGAAGTAGATGCATTAGAAACAATAAAGGCCCCAGCACAGAACCATGTGGCACACCATAGGTTATGTTACGACCCGGCTCAAAAGCCGCAACATAAAAAAGGAGATGAATACCAGAGTATAGGCGAGAAGAGGTATTATCTTAGAATGGAATACCAGGTTGGCTAAAATGGCTGGTGCCACCAAGGCAAAGACAAGTGAGCTCCCTGGGAAGCTTGCCTCAGGTGTGCTTTTATCCATACCTGACTAGGTGTGGCCAATTGGCACCAGCTGAACACATTGAGATAATTAGGGGCTACAGAAGGACGTAACACCTGCTCCCTCAAAAGGGTTCCTCTAGGACCCCTAAATTTATTAAAAGCCCCTCTGAAGCCTCCAGGTCCTTGACCCACAAACCTGAAATAAAAGTAAAAGCTTAGAAGTGGAAGATGACCGGTATTTGGAAACAGTCACAGAAAAGTATCGTTCATATAGATATGAGGAGAACCACTCCAAGGCAGATCCAGATATACCGACCCAATGTTTCAGCCTTTCAAGCAGAATTCGATGGTCAACTCTATCAACATCAGGAGAGCAGAACATTTTCCTGCATCGTTTTGCATCAAAATGTCACTGGAGACTCTGAGAAGGGCTGTATGTCTGTGAAGGTTCTCAATCATCCAGGTCATCGTAGTCTAAGGAGCTTGGAAAGAAAAGCGTTTGGACTTCTTTAAGTTGCTTGAAGACGTTTCACCTTCATCTGAGAAGCTTCTTCAGTTCTAGGGTCAAATGGTGGAGAGTCGCAGATTTAGACAGATCAGATATCGGCTGCTGATTATAACCAAATCTTCAAGCTGACACACACAGACAGCAGTGGCAGATGTTTATCCGGACCTGAAAGACTTTGGTCTAATGTAAGGTCTGTTTGTTTGTCAATAATAATCCTGTGCACTGAAGCGTGCAACATCTCTTTACTGTTAAGTACAGAAACATAATGAAAGACTGCTGCTTTTCCTGTACAGTAATAGCAGGTGATCTCGTTCAGCTGTGACTCACGTTACAGTGTAATTGGATCGTATATCATATATTTAACAGATTCTCCCAGGCGTCAGATGTATTCGTCCCATTCTGTGCCAGTGTTGGTGTTTAATAGTTGGAGGAGTTCTCAGCATTACAACAAAAACACAGTTAAGCCTCCCTCATCCCACTTATGTCCCTCGCTCCCTCTCTCTCCCTCTCTCTCCCTCTCTCTCGTCTGCCCTCCCTCAACCCTCATGTCAGGCTCGCGTGTCCCAGCCTACGTCTCTCTATGTTTCCTGTTTTATTATCTTGCGTTCCCTGTTCAGTGTGTTTAGTTTTGCTCCCATGTTCATTCGTGTTCATTCATGTGTTTCCAGTCCCCTCATCACCTCTCTGTGTATTTAGTGTGTGAGTTTTCTGTCAGTCGGGGTCAGATCGTCTGCGTTCCATGTTTCAGGTATTCGTGTTAAGCATGTCCAGGGTTTTCATGTTCAATTCTAGTTTAGCCAGTTTAGGTTATTCTTTAGTTTTGTATTGTTTGCTTTGCCCTTTATTTTGTAATTTTTCCATCAGCTATAACAAAAAGCGCTTCATTTTGTCTGCGTTTGGGTCCACATTTCTAAGTCCACACAGTCTCCCAGCACAGACTGTGACTGCAAAGCTGTTGAAAAATAAACAGATTGGAAAGTGTGA